GTGTGAGAGTGTGTGTGTGTGTGTGTGTGTGAGAGAGAGTGAGTGTGTGTGTGCAGATCTTCCGTGATTTCTGTCTCTCACCCGAGTCTTTGATGCTAATCACGTCCAGCGCCACCATGTCAGGTTTATCTGAGGGCGACACTTTCCTCTCGGTGACTCCAGACGGCACTACATCGGGTTTGTTGCTCAGTTTTCTGCTGTAATAATCAGAAACATGACTGTGGTATGGGTTATTATGAGCCATCACAGACGCCATCTTTACTTCCGCCTAACGTCACACGTCACGACCTGACCACGTGTTTCACGACAGCCAATGACAGTGCAGAGTTTCTGTTATTGGTTGTTTGTCGTAAACGTAATAATAATAACAAAAACAACAACAAGAATAATGCTTTGTTTTGTTTTGTAATCTTTAGAACAACGATCATAAAAGGTCAATAGCATATAAATTAGGCTACATCAAAACAAACACAACAACAAACAGTGCTCTGAGGGCTTCACGTTTGCCCGGAGTACATGTTTACGCAGGAAGTGACGTCAGCGCGCCGGCGTGACGCTGTCCTCTAGCTGACGTCCGAGCTGCAGCAGCGAGCAGTGTGTACGGTTTACTTCACTTCGTCCTGTAATCATCTCCTGGCGGACAATGGCGGGAACTCTGGCGCGTAAAGCCGTGGATCATCTCCGCAGTAAAGAGTGAGAGAGTGAGTGTGTGTGTGTGTGTGTGTGAGTGTGTGTGTGTGTGTGTGTGTGTGTGTGAGAGAGTGAGTGTGTGTGTGCAGATCTTCCGTGATTTCTGTCTCTCACCCGAGTCTTTGATGCTAATCACGTCCAGCGCCACCATGTCAGGTTTATCTGAGGGCGACACTTTCCTCTCGGTGACTCCAGACGGCACTACATCGGGTTTGTTGCTCAGTTTTCTGTTGTAATAATCAGAAACATGACTGTGGTATGGGTTATTATGAGCCATCACAGACGCCATCTTTACTTCCGCTCAACGTCACACGTCACGACCTGACCACGTGTTTCACGACAGCCAATGACAGTGCAGAGTTTCTGTTATTGGTTGTTTGTCGTAAACGTAATAATAATAACAAAAACAACAACTTTATTTATTGTAATCTTTAGAACAACGATCATAAAAGGTCAATAGCATATAAATTAGGCTACATCAAAACAAACACAACAACAAACAGTGCTCTGAGGGCTTCACGTTTGCCCGGAGTACATGTTTACGCAGGAAGTGACGTCAGCGCGCCGGCGTGACGCTGTCCTCTAGCTGACGTCCGAGCTGCAGCAGCGAGCAGTGTGTACGGTTTACTTCACTTCGTCCTGTAATCATCTCCTGGCGGACAATGGCGGGAACTCTGGCGCGTAAAGCCGTGGATCATCTCCGCAGTAAAGAGTTCAGAGACTACCTCACGAGGTCAGTAACGAGTCACACCGTGTGGATGTGTGAGGAGCGTGCGAAGCATTGGTGTGTGTGTGTGTGTGTGTGTGTGTGTGTGTGTGTGTGTGTCTCTGTCTCTGTCTGTGTGTGTGTGTGTGTGTGTGTGTGTGTGTGTGTGTGTCTGTCTGTGTCTGTGTGTGTGTGTGTGTGTCTGTCTGTGTCTGTGTCTGTGTCTGTGTCTGTGTCTGTGTCTGTGTGTGTGTGTGTGTGTCTGTCTGTGTCTG